CGAAAAGTAATTTTAACTTTTGTTTATTTGATTTTAACGCAATTCATTACGTAAAGTCAAAAGTTGCGTGTTTAATGAAAAAGTTTACTAATAAATCGAAATTTCTAGGTCACAATTCTAAATTTAAAATAGTGATAAGTAATGCTCCGCACTCAAGAATGACTAAAACATAAATCTCAACATTTGATAGAAAAATAAACTAGAATTGGTTTTAAAATTTTCAAAAATGATGAGAGTAGAACTAAGTGATTGAATATAATTTCAACTTCAAATTAAAAGCTAATGCAAAAGACCCAATTTCTTGTAGGCTTTCATGACATTGAAATATCTTCCTCTACATTTTGGGCAGTTAGTCCCGTGCAGGTAAAAGAATAACCATGCATGCATATCCACCTATAGTTGAAGGGCATTGTCCGCAGAGCAAGCAACAAATGTTTCAAATCTTCCTTGCACCTAAGGGTGGGCTCCTGGCACAAAGTTGTATACTGAGCACAAATCAACTAAGTTTGCTCTATATGGTACTTTAACTATTGGTAATGTTACAATTTGGTACCTTAACTCTTAAATGAATCAAAACGGTACCTTAACTATGCATAAATGTTTCGAATTGATATTTTATTCAAATTTTCGACCAAAATATCCTTCATGACGATCAAAATTCCATGTGTAGAGTCACTCTATAGTGATCATATGGACAAAAATGAGGAGAAGTAGATTTTATGCATAGAATTATAGCCGCCACGTGTGATTTTTTGTTCGAAAATTTGAATAAAAATCTTAATTCGAAACATCTATTTAAAGTTAAGGTGCCATTTTGATTCATTTAAGAGTTAAGGTACCAAAGTGAAACATTACCAATAGCTAAGATATCATTTATGCATTTGACAAGTTGCGTCAACAAAGTCGCTGGCGAAGACAATCGCGGCCCGTGCGACGCTGCCGGAATTCGGAAAGGAAAGGTTCATCGCCATCGCAGATTGTGTCGCAAGCAGAATCTCCCCATTCGCTGACTTCATCGCTAGCTGATTCTACCGGTTCGCAGGCGGCTCAGTCGCAAGTATCTTCTTCCAGTTTGCCAGCTTCCCCGCGAATAGATCTTCCTAACTTTCATCGATTCTCTCAGTTCTTAGTTCGCAGGCCTCCTCAATCTTGCTAATCCAGCCCGTTTGGTAACACCAAAATTAGGGGTACGGTGGGATTTCAGAACCGGTTGGAACCAAACCGTTATAACCCGGTTCAGTTCGGTTCCTACAAATGTGGTATTAGTTGTTAACGGTTCGGTTCCTTGCTAGTTGTTACTAACGGTTCGGTTCCTAGTTTCTATAAAAAATATGTACACGGAACCGTTAAGGAACCGTAAGTAAGAAATAAAAATAAAAATTGTAATTGTACTATTGTAGTAGTGATAGTAATAGCAACAATATCAGCAATAACAATAATAGTACAATCAATGATATTTAGCCAACGAAAACAAAAGTAATCAATATTGCACATGAGATTGAATGCATTAAGCTCATTTTTACAAATCAAGTTTTGTTACATCCCATAAGTTTTATAAATATAAAATAACTCAAATAACTTGTAATTAATTGCATATATTTTGCTTCACTATCTTCATGGTATTTGTAAGTTTGTAACTATTAGATTTGTTGTAAATTATACTGCTAGCAAACACACTGTAATGATGTTTTTATATCTATACACGCAAACTCAGTGTATTTTTTAAATTTTGAAACACTCGAAGTGGACGTCCTATCTTCCTACTGTGATGATGACCAACCTTCATTGTTACCACATAACAAAGATTTTTATGTTCTACTTATTAAATGAACGAAAATTGAAATATTCTTTTATTCTATATAGTGTTCACTTAGTTAAGTTTGAGCTTTGATGTTTGAAGTGATTAGAACTTTAAATTAAATTTTAGTACTTGTTTTGAATTTTTTTACATATTAATGTGTTAGAAAGCACATAAATAATGTGCTAGTTCACTAGATGAAAAAATATTATTCGAGGAACCGATAAGAGCAAGAACTGAACTGTTTAGTATTGGTTCGGTTCCATAACGGTTCTTGATTTTTTACATAAGAACCGAACCAATTTCATTAGTTAAAATTTTTATAGCGGTTCCATCAATTTTGAGTAAGAACCGAACCGGTCCCAGGCCTAACCAAAATCGGTTGATTTGGGTGTTTCTACTGAAATTTATGAAATTTTGACTGAAGTGACTGCATTGGCTGATTCTGCAGATTTAAGAAAAAATTATTTTTAAAATATATTTTATTAATAAAATAAAAAAAAATTATATGTAAAAATAGCTAAAATGGTCATCTACACTAACTTTAGCCAATACAGCCAGAAAAGTAACTCCAACCTTACTTTTTCTGCTTATTACACAATCCAGCGCGCGAAAGCAAAAGTTACGTGTTTGGTGAAAAAGTTGGCTGATAAGTCTGATAAGCCGAAAAACAGTAGTTCCAAACGGCATATAAATCTTCATGATCGAATAAAATGAGAAAAGCAATAAATGGATTTGAAATTAGCAAACAAAACATCTCATTAGACGTGGTTGTTCTTAATTCATATCATAAATACTAGTTATTGCGTCGCGCGATGCGCGATGAAGAGGATGCCCAATAGTATATATGAACTATTTAAATATTAAGCCGTATTGTGTGTGTGTAGAATAAAGATCAAATGAGAACAATGTTTAACGTGAGAACATGAGAACACCACATTTACCCCAATGTGATGCACAATGAAGCTCGCCCAATGCACACTTTCGTGTTCGGCATAGTATTTACCAGATTGCCACCGTGATTAATTATATAGGCTTGTTTTCAACAAAGTCAAAATGTGCACTAGATGGGCTCTTTTGTGTATCACGTTGGGTTAATTGTGAGTGTTCTCACGTTAAGCATTGTTCTCATTGGAACCGCACCCTGTGTGTGTGTGTGTGTAGGAAGCGGTTCCAGTATGAACGGACTCCCAGGAGAAATGAGAATGAACTTGGACCGTTGGATTGTATTATGTGGAATTGAATTGTGCATTTTGTGAAACTGAAATGTGCATTAGATGATGTTGAAATATCCAGAATAAAAATTTAAACTCAAGTGTGCATTAGGTAAAATTGAAATGTGTGGAATCAGAGGTACAAAAACAACACCGTGAAATGTGGAGTGCTTTGAATTCTTAAAAAGTGGTAGAAGTTTTGTACTACTTATTTATTTGGCAAAGACAGATGTTGCCAAACGCTTTTGCAAATGATCAATTTTTATCCCAATTGTGTTCGAATTTAAGTTATTTAATACAGAATGATAGCAAAATGCAACCTCGAACCATACTTGCTTGGTTTATTAGCCTTATCTGATTTAATACCCTTCAGGAAGGTTGTACTAACACATTTATGTCTCTAAGGAACCCTAACAACATTTTTATGGAAATCTGCAAAATAAAGTGAAAGAGATTGTAGAAAGTAATGAAAGCCTCAGGCTTCCTAAAATTCGGAAGCTATTCACCTCAACTCACTGTTTATTTCATTAGCTCTTCCTCTAGAAATTTATAACTTTTTTCAGGATTGATTACTCAACTTGATCATGCATATATTCTAAATAGTGTTTACATCTAGAATTTAATGAATTACTACCTCCGTCCCACTAAGATTGGGACGGAAGAAGGTGTCACGATTATTAAGAAAAGTGGATTTCTGTGGTTGATATTAAATTGATAAAGAATAAAGTAAGAATGGTTTAGAGCCACACAATCTTTACCAAATTTGGAGAATCTTAGTGGGACTTACAGAAAAGGTAAAATAGACAATAGAAGCACATAGTGTGTTATTTTACGTTTTCAAGGTATTTCGAAACTGTAAGCAAAACAAACAACTTTAATTTTTTTTGCAAACCTTAGTGCTTCCATATATCTGGATTTCTTTAAGTCTTGAAGAAGTAGATTCTACATGCTTGTAAAAAATTACAAGTCAAATAAATATGAACGTATAGCTAAATTTGCCTTCAGTTAGAACAACTTGTATAATGCATTGATTTAGTGGAAGGCAGAGAGACTTTCGTAGCATTGAAGAGAGCCTCAGTAATAATCTGCAGAGGTTAGACTCCATAACACGCAGTTATAGAGTCTTCAATTGTAAAATGTAAGATTATACAATTGACATTTATATAAAATTATAGCTGTAAGATTAGTAAACTGAAAATGCTAAATTAATTGTCTATGTTCTTTTAAATTTCTTTCTTCTAGTCACTATTTTTTTTCAATAATACCATTTCTGGTCTTTAAAAGACAAACACAAATCTGTGATGCAATATATAGAACCAGGAAATAAAAAATGTAAACCAACAAGAATTCTCCTAGTTGTTGTTAGTTTGTTACTTTTAACCAAAAAAACGAACCTTCATACAGGCCAACATTTTCTTCCTTAAGCAAGTGGTTCAGTGGTGTGTGGTTTATGTGTGTGTGAGAGAGAGGTTATTATTTTACTTTCCTATAGTGGTTTAATTAACACTAATTGAGTATCTTGCTTAATTAAGCTTTAATGCTTTATTCATATTTTTTCTTTTTTTATTCATGAGCAAACGTGCCAAACCCATTAGCTTGTGTCTCCTCTACCTCTTTGATTCTGTGTATTACTTTAGTCCTTGCAAACAGTGCACAGAGTTATCCATTTCATTGAAAGTATGGCTTCAAAGAAGGAAACACGACCAACAAGAAAATAATATGTAATTGAATCGAGTACATTTACTTCAAGAAATGATGTCTCCCTTTCCACGAAAAGGGAAAATGTTTTCACACCAATAATATACATGAATCGAGTACACCATGAAATGTACTCCCTCCGTCCCCTTTTAAATGGGACGGGAGACGGTGGCACGAGTTCCAAGAAAAGTGAGTTTGTGTGGTTGATATTAATTGATAAAGTAATAATAAAGTAAGAATGATTTTGAGCCACACAAAGTTTACCAAATAAGGTAAGGGGCAATTAAATAGGGACATCCCAATATGGTAAAACGGGACATTTAAAAGGGGACAGAGGGAGTATCTAGGTTTCGTAATCTCTATGAATATTGGCATGAATGAATGAAATGAATATCTGATATGAACAGGTAAAAAAAACCATTTATTTTTAAGCCCATATATTTACCTGCAATGTCTATCATTTTCTTCATTGTTCAATTTCTATGTCATATATAAGTTCGATCTCTATTTAAGCACCTCACTCCTTTTTTAGGCAGATAAAGTTATGATACTTTATGTAATCTATACACAAAATCCCGTGACGGTTCTTCCAAAAAGATTCACACAAGATATTCGTGCAGCATATTTCATTTTTAAACTGATGACATTGCCTTTGTATATAATAACTACTTAAACTTTGTTAAAATTCTTGATCTATTAAGCGTTTTTTTAAACTGTATGAAGGGTTGATCTATATTTATTCTTTTTAACACTGATTTCATATATTCATGTTCGCTAGACTTCAAACTCTTTTGGAACTAAGACTTAAATGTTGTTGTAAGCATTCTTGTTTTTAAACAAGATACGATAACCTACAAGTTTTAAAAAATTGGCATTACCCCAATTAAGATGAAAATGAACTTCAAAGAATAAAAATTATGAAATGTGGTCTCAAATACTTTTGATATTTGTCTTCTTTTTGTTCAAAAGTAAATGAACTTCAATGAATCTTATTCTATTATTATTATGGTTATTATAATGATCTTGGTTGTTTTATTTCCCCACATACAATCTATGCTACAAATATTTTATTCGTGAAGTTTCTTTATTAATTTCTAACAAACTATGTATACAAATAGTTTACTCATAATACCCACATATTCTCTCAACATAAATGGTCTTGGACATTTACAAGAACGCACACCTCTCTCTAACAAAACTTGTGGAATATTTTAGGCTTCATTTGACTTTGGAGGTATTCTGTCGGCAACAAAGTTTATATTTCTCAATTTTGGGCTACTATGTTTAACAGGTCGGCTTGTCGTTCCGCTCCTAATCCTTTGTAGCATCGTTTTTAAGGGGGCAGGCTACAGCCCTCCCCATTTAGTTTTTTGTATATCCCATCTTTTAAATAAAATTCTGGAAAATGCACCAGACACTTTGCCTACTGTTAAAAGTGATTCTTTTGGGCAAAAAAAAGGTCAAAGTACAATTATATATATAATGGACCATTGTCAATTATTCTAGTAAAGAGTACATAAAAGCATGTAATGAAAAGGCATAAGATGTCGGTTTTCAAAACAAAAAATAGAGCATAATAGCCAAGGTCTCTGTAGTGTCAACACTCACTATAGCTCCCAACAATCATGACCCAGGTTTGCAGATCACACGTACAAGGACCTTAGCAGATAAAGCTCAAGTAGATTTATTATATTTGAGATCTCACTAAAGGTTGAAGCTATTTTATGACATCCACTTGCAAAAGGGATGAGAAATGAGGAAAAACATGCTTTTGATAAAATAGTGTTTTTATTAGCAAATGCTTCTAATGATCATGAAAAGGGCATGATTATCAAATGTCAAAGTACAGAGAATTGTTATGGCAAGTGCTAGAAAAAAATGAGGGTAATAATTACATTGCTGTAAATCAGAGAGTGAGAGCTTCTTATTAGCTACCTACCAATCTTCTCAACAGAAAATTAAAAACAAAGTCTTTAGCTACAAATGAAACCAAATTAAAACCAGATACATTAGTGTGAGATAAACTTAATTTCTAGAGAATATTTTAGACCCAATTTAATATGATATCAAATTATCAATGTTTGATCAGATAGCCCTATCTGGACACATGAAGTGTGAAGTATAACGTCTTATATCAGATATTTACAAGTTTGAGTCTAAAACATAAGTATGAGGTAAACATTATGTCAAAAAAACAACCTCATACAATATGCTAGACCTAATATAATACTAACTTAAACATTAAACTGAAGAAGCAATACCTGTCTAGCTGCAGCTTTCTGGACAAAAGAGGGATCCAACCTTTTACTATTATTATTATTAACACTTGAATCATATAAAAGACAAGAATTTCTCTTAGAGAAAGCATGCATATGTATCTTTTCCAAAGCCAATTCTCTTTCACTCCAATCAGTTTCAGGATAATCATCCATTTCACTATGGCCATTAAACTTGCTGAAATCCCTAACTGCACCTTGGCTTGGCCACAAACACCGGCTATACTGTGAAGCTTTAGACTTCTTCTTCTTCTTCTTCTTCTTCTTCTTCAAAGGCTTCTTCTTCCATCCATCTTTGCTGCTTATACCCAAAGGATACTCTGATTCTCTCTTCTTATCCCCATCAACACTATTTGAAGGAGAAAAGTTAAGAATATGTAAAGAATATATTTACCAAGCAGACATAGTCAACCAAACATGTTAACAAACACACAGTATAAAGAATTAAGCACAAAATGAAGAGGTAAATTGGGTTAAAGTTAACAGTGAACCATTGAATCATTAGGTAAACAAAATTATTTTGTTAAAATTGGATTAGCTTCTACTCCTATCAATTCGATTATTTTGAAATAGCTAATCCAATATCCTAAATTTATTTTTGTTTCAAGCTCAAAATAGGTTTAGGCATAAGTCGACAAAGTCCAAGAATGGGGGATTACGGGATAAAAGATGAAGGGAGTGAAGCCTCACCTGCAATAATCAAACATCCCAGAAGTCCACAAGTCCAGGAAACTATCAGCTTATAGGAGAGGAGAAGATGAAGGGAGTGAAGCCGCATGATCGAGGAACCCCAGCGCCGATTTCTGGACTGAAGGTTTGAACCCTGGGAAGAGATGCTCAGTTAAGCGAAGAAATGAGGTTTGTATACTGTATATGAATTGAATTGATAGGAGTCGGAACTCAGAAGTAGAGCTACGAACGAGACGTGAAGTTAAACACGACGAAGTCTACGAACAGGTGGTTTAATTAACGGAAGTCTGGAGTAGAGAGTACTGAAGAAACCAGAAAGGTACTATGCCCTTACAATAATGTACAACTCCATCTAGCTACACTATACTACCAACAAATTTTTTTTCCCAAAAGGGTATTAACCCTCATTCACCCTTATAATATTTTAGAAATAGGTTTGAAATGATGGCTTATATTATACTAATATATATACAAATACAATTAGAAAATTCGCACTTTTAGTCCCTGAAATAGCTATCATATTAAAATGCCAGACATGTATTTTTCAGATTATAAATGTAACTCCTCAATTGTCTGAATTGGTGTAAATGTGATCTTTTGAAGGGTGAAATGTACTCATTGCCCACATTGTACATTGAAACAATGGCCTCAATATTACTAATTACTTGTGGAGTTTGTGTATACAAAAATATGACAAAATTTGATGTTGACAAAAATTTGACCATTTACTCTTTTGATCATTCCATTTCCCCAAAGCCGTGTCTCTTCTCTGCTTAGTATCTCCATACGCGATACTCCACACATTGGGCTTTTCATCTTCAACGCCTCACTAATCGTCCGAGCTGCCGGTCATCTGAGCAGTGCCGCCGCCCGCCAGACGTATGTGCATCGCCGCCGCCCGCCAGACGTCACTACATCGCCTCCGCCGTTCATCTGCCAATCTGCTTCGATTGGATCTGCTTCAGCCGCGAACTGCCATCTTGTGGTCATGCTTCTGCGTAGGCGATTGCTAGCGGTGGCGGCTCAAAAATTGGGATTGGGGATGGGGGCCTAAGGCTGTTGGCTATTGGTTGGACGGCGGCCACGTTACAACGATTGTGGTGAGCTACAGATTGGGGCTAGGGTTGGGAGTGACGATTGGGAGCTCGGGCTGAATGGTAGTGGTGTTGACCGAAGGCGCTGGATTCGCTGGTGGTGTTGACCGGCGGCGAGGTAAGGTCGGTGATCTGGCAGCTAGTTGATTGAGGTGCTACGAATGCGGTTTGAAAGCTAAACATCAATTGTGCAGTGGATGGCCGGGCTTGGGAGGGGTGCTGGGGGCTGGGAGGGAGATTGATGATGTGGCGGTGATCGGAGTAAGTTCCGGCAGGCAGTGTCACTGAAAAATCAGGCGTCACTAGGCGGCGGCGATGTCACTACGACGGCGTCACTATGATGTGTCACTGTGGCCGGCAGCGGTCTTTGGCCGGAGGCATTTTCTGGCTAGCGACGGTCACCGATGGGAGGTGGTGATGGATGTCACAATGTTCGTGTCATTGTACGCGTCACAGTGGCAGTGGCGGCAATGTTTCTACGGTCGGCGCCGCAGTGACGCGTGTGGCGGCGGCGACACTGACACGCGCGACGACGATAGTGACATGAGCGGCGACGGCAGTGACACGGGTGGTGGCAGCAGTGACACGGGTGCCGGCGGCAGTGACATCCGATAGTGACATGGAAGTGGTGCACTGACATGAATAATCATCTTAGTCACATATTTGTCTAAATTTAAATGTGGACACTTTTTCGAAAATTGGCTCTATTTTAGTAATATTCAGGAAAAAAAACCTTGTACATTTCACCCCTCAAAAGACTACATTTACAACCATTTGGATAATTGAGAGGTGACATTCACAAATTAGAGAACATGAGTCTGACGTTTCAATATGGTGACTATTTTAGGGACTAAAAATGCGATTTTCCCAATAGAAATTACTTTCACTCTTCAAACATCGGTACAAAAAGAGGAGGAGTACAATTTATAAGAAAAGTGAGTTTATGTGACTAATATTAAATTGATAAAGTGAAAATAAGGTGAAAAGGATTTATAACCATACAAAAATTACCAAATTTGGTATGGGGTAAAATTAGTGTAATAAAAACCAAAGATAAGAAAATCTCAAATCAGTTTCTAAATAATGGTATGGGACGAAGGAAGTATAAATGTAATCCAGTTTCATTTGTTGTTGTTGTGTGTTATTCGCTAAACGTTGACAAATACGAAGTATTATACCAACTGTTGAATACTAGCGGATTGAATATGAAACTGTGTTACACTTACACAAACACACTTCTAGTATATAGTATATCGAGCAATTCTCTCAAATTGAAATCAGTTTATGAATTAACTACAAACACTAATTGACACCAAAGTGACCAAACACTTTATTTTTTATCCACAATATATGGAAGAAAACAGTATTAGAACATCATTAGTTGGGTCACTTGGTGAATAAGCTTGGGAAGAAGTTGGGAGTGATCTTACAAATTGCAAGTTGTGACATGCAATAAACAAGTAAACAAATAAGGCATTCATTAAGTAAAGAAGGAATGATGTTTTGTTGGGAATAACAGGATCGTGCTAATATGAGAGAAAAGCACTTCTATTACGTTCATGAATAGAAAGAAGAGACATACAAGTTCTAACTAAAAACTCTCAAAACAACACCTCACATATCTCTCAGAGATATTCACAACACTCTTGGTTGTGCTATGATGATCTATTCTAATTTACTTGATAATAGAAAGACTCTCCAAACTCTCTATTTATAGCACCAAAACTAGGTACTAGGAAGGTGGAAGGAAGTGTGTTCACTGTGTTGAGGCTACGAGGAAGCTTCAATGGAGGTGTGAGGAAGGTGGTTCCTTAGTGTGAGGAAACTTCCCAGAGACATACTTGCACATGGAGGAAGTTTCATGGAAGTTAGGAATTGGATTCTTCAATTTTCTAGTACTTGGATATGATCTAGAAATTGAAATCTTCAATTCTCCCCTTCCAGACATATTCAAAACAAGCATCCCGACTATGTCTCTGCACAGCTCCAGCTTATCTCATGTTACCACCTTCGTCAGCATATCTGATGGATTCTCCTTGGTGTTGATCTTCACTAGTCTCAACTAGGGGTGTAATCGAGCCGAGCCGAGCCCGATCTTGGGTATGCTCGATCTCGAGCTCGAAATAATTCTACTGGCTCGGGCTCGAGCTCGAGCTCGAACGAGCATAATAATACAGGATCGAGTTCGGCTCGTGAATATTTAATATGGCTCGAGCTCGGCTCGTTAGGGTCGGTAGGCTCGAATTTTCATGTTTGCAAAGTCGAGCCCATGCTCGAAAATCAAATAAAATTACCAATTTTTTATGTTAAAACGAGAAACTAATGTACACTAAAAGATCCAAACATGAGTTTTAAATAGCATAATAATTAGTTTAGTATCACAACAGTTGTTCTAAACTCCAATACAAAAAAAAATACGTAGTTATAGTTTGTTGAGCAAAAAGAAAATTGAGTAAAGAAAAGCATTGGGTATTCAAATGTGCTTTTCAACTCCACGTTCCATGTCTTTTGTCATCCAGATTCCAGATTGTATTAATAGCAAAACACCCTTGCCAGAGAAAAGTTACCCTTACTACTCCGCAAAATTTAAAAACAACAGATCAAACACGATTGCTTCTTCCATTATCTTAACTGAAATCAAGCATTAAGAGTGCTATTTGATTGTGAGAACTAAACAAAATTTGTTTCAAATCTTTTTCGATGAATGAAATTAAGGAGACGTATATATAGGGAAAAGATCAGGTGAGAAGTGCCCATTAAAATGAAAAGTGAGAAGTAATCCCAACCCTTGGATTTGCATCTGATCTTACAACGCATTAAACTTACATACTAAATATAGGAACTTATAACCAATAAATCATAACTTATAAAGCTTTCCAAAAAATTTCTAGATTTTCGTAGTTATTTTTTTGCGGTGGCATTTTCATAATTATTTTCGAGGGGCCTATAAGTTATGATTTATTGGTTAAAAGTTCCTATATTTAGTCTATAAGTTTAACTTCGCAGTTCTCAGCCTAAGAGCACTTCTCACCTGATCCGCTGCCTATATATATATATATATATATATATATATATATATATATATATATATATATATATATATATATATATATATATATATATATATTAAGGTTCATGTGAGAACTTAATCTTAGGAGAGTAAAAAAGAATGAATAGGAACCATTAGATCGTCTTCTAATTATTGCGTGTGACTACTCTTCATTAAGGGTAAATGTGACATTTAATTATCTTACCATCCAAAGCACGTTTATTCTTTCCTTATTATTTGCCTACAATCATGCACAATCTCCAATACGGAGTATTATTTATATATTTAGTTTATTACGTATTGGTCAAGATTGGTTGCCAGTTAATTCTTCATTCCTTTTCAACTTCAACCGCGCAGAGTGTCGTCTTCCCCTTAATTACTCAACAGATTTCGTATCTTCTTCGGACGGAGATAGTCTGAGGAAAAGGCTATGGCCGGTTAACATTTCCGGTGATAGGATCCGCCTCGACGGACTTGTCCCTCCTCCGCCGGTGATTGTTCCGGACGACAGTATTGGCGAATTTTCGGTAAATGATGTGAGGAAGATTCTGAGGTCTTCTCAAATGGAGAAGGTGAGGTAGAGGGTTAGGAATATTCCGGTGAAATGGTTTCATACTCGGAGTTTGTTATTATTTGTGGATGCGGTTGTGGCATGAGATCGATGGGCCTCGCAGCGACAGAGAGGAGAATGATGCTCTCGACTTTGGCCTTTCGAAACCTCTTGGATCGGCATTGAAAACAAATTTCAATGAATGAACAGTTCTCGATCATTATGATGTATTGTGTATATATATGTACACTCGAGATTGTGTTTTGTTTTGTAGAAATACTTCAATATTAAGACGGAGAACGTACATGTGATATATATGTCAGAGAACGTACGTGTGATATGTCAAAGCACTTTAGAATAAAAATGCCTTTGTAGTGTTTTTCATGTTTGATAATATGTACAATATGCATAAAGTGCACATGGCATCAATTACAAGTGCAGTTAGCAAATTATAAAGTAGTGCATCACAAAAATGAAACAAGTGCAGTTAGCAAATTACAAAGTATATAAAAACAATGTATGCCTTATATCTATAAAATTATTCCATTTGGTAAATGAAATTATAAGTTTAAGATTGATATACTAGTATAAATTAGCTTGATAAAGTGCACTTCAAATATATTTTTGATGCACAATATTAAAGTTTCAATGCATATTTCGAGAGGCATATTAAAGTGCACTTTATTCACACTTTTCATTATTTTCATTTTGACGCACTTGTGATACTTTGTTTATGCACTTTTATTTATTTTTATTTTTCTCATTTTGATGATCCAAGTAACAACGAAGGACGCCTTCATAACCAAACAATTTCCATGCATTTGAAAGAAAAAGTGCATTTAGTTGTAACATGTATCAATACATCATTCTAGAAATTATAATAAAATAGTACACTTTTATATGTATTTAAATGCACACGATAAAAGTGCATTTCATTTTGTTTGAGAGTGCCAACGAATATTTTTACAGTGTGATATAATCATGCACTTGTGTTCATATTAAAATGCACATGATAATTGTTAGAGTGCATGCTGGACAAACAACAAAATATTATTGCACGTAAAAGAAAAGGATACAATAAAAAAAAATGCAAAATTCTCAGTAGTTAAAATTAGCTAACGATAAACAAGTGATACATTATCAAATTTGGAAAGAAATTTAAATAAGTGAAGGAACTTATTAAATAAATGGTTTTAATTATGAGTGGGAGTTATTTGCATTAATTACTATCCAAACTTGAAAGATAGCTTCCTAGAATATGTACATCATGTGCCATTTTTAATTCGTATAGTTCATTTGTGAGCCGCATGATTAAATGAAAGAATGGCTAGATTTCATTCTTTTTTACTCTCCTAGAGCCTCTTTCTCACAGGAACCAACCCCATATATATATATATATATATATATATATATATATATATATATATATTGATGGAGTATATGGCCCAGGGACCCCCGGCCCATAGACTCCTATTTCTCCTACACAAGTCCGTTGAGCTCAGGAAACAACTCAGGCCCGAATACAACGGCCCAAGCCTCAAAGTAGCCCAGAATACGCACTGGGGTGCCTTCGGCCTCCTTGGCCGAAGGCTCCAAAACTCACAGGATAGCCTTCTCTGGCATAAGAAGCTGCTGGGAGAAAACGGGCGAGGACATAAGCCTTCGGCATTCTCATGCCCTCGGCACCTGGGGAAGCCTTCGGCTGAACCAAGGAGCCCTCGGCTACACAAGGAGCCCTCGGCTACACAAGGAGCAATCGGCTACACAAGGAGCCCTCGGCTACACAAGTAACCTTCGGCTGAACAAGGAGCCTTCGGCTGAACAAGCTCAATCATCGAAGATTCCTTTTGGAGACAGCCAACCACCGCATTTAATGCCACGTCGCATCCGCCAACCGCATTCAATGCGGTTGATGTACCACTGCCGATGCCACCAGGCTGATGTGACCCTTCGGCCGTTGGATTACTGACACGTGTCCTCTCATCGCATTTATTGCTGCTATAAATAGCAGCCCATTTCTCCTTGTAAAACATCATCTACATCCCATCTCCACACGCTGAGTTCATTTAATAAAATCGACTCTCTCTCCTCCTATTTGCTCTGACTTCTCTCTAAGTTATTCCCGCAATAACCCCTCGGATAAGATACCCCCCGGGTAGACTATCCATCATGTATATATATATATATATATATATATATATATATATATATATAGGGAAAAGATCAGGTGA